CCAATAAAAAAAGAAAAAAAAGATTGATTGTTGAATGTTAAATCACCTCTCATTGCTGGAAAAACTGCTGTGTAGTGATGTGAATTGTCCTTTTAATACATTATTGATGTTCATTTGCTAACAAGGGATAGTAGTCTGTAGATTTTTTTTTCATTTTAATATCCTTATTTAGATTTAAGATGGCTCATAATACGTAGCTTGGAAGAATTTTTGTAGCCTGTTTCATTGTACCTGCTGTCATTATTTATTTCCTCTGCTAGTTTTTGGTTTACTTTGCTTTTTATAATTTCTCAAGATGTAAAGTAGGTGATTGAGATTCTCTTTGTTAATGTAGGTATTTTTAGCCGCAAATTTCTCAAGGTGTGAAGTAGGTGATTGAGATCCTCTTTGTTAATGTAGCTGTTTTTAGCTGTAAATTTCTCTTGAGTACTGTTTTCTCTGGGGCTATACATTTTGTTATCTCGTGCATTTGTTGTTTTTTTCTGGTACTGAGAACCAAACTCAGGACCTCATGCCTGCCAGGTGAGCAGCTGTGCCATGAGCAGTGTCCTTGGCCTGATTTTTGTGGTCTTTCATCTCAAAAACACCTTATTTTCAATTAGATTTTCTTGATACATTTTAGATACACATAATGATCACATTCATCATAGAGAACTTGCACCTGTACATGATGTAACTTGGTTTTTTTACCCATTCTCTTACCATCTCTTTCCCCTCCCCACTTAAAAATTTGTTTCTATTTTGTCCTCCTTTTCTCAGTTTTTAAAAAAACTTATTGTGGGAGACAACTCCAGTGATTCCCCTTGAATATAAAACAATTACTGCACCTCTGATTATTTGGCGACTTATTTCATTATATTCAATGTAGAGAGCTGCTAGGGTATTTCCTTCTTTCTTCACTTGGCTCTAACTAAGCATTGCAAATAAGGCTAGCAGAGGTGCTGGTATGTAATTTCTAAAGCTGACAGACAGTCCTGTCTCCTCACATTGTGTTCTACATTTAAAGGATATGAGCACAGCGAGATGTTAGAGCTAATAGCTCCAGGAATGTCAGCTGGGTAGGAGCCTCAAGGTGAAGAGGCTATGACTTTCCAGGGCACAAAAGTTTGTGTTCCCACCATCCTCACTGTCACTCATCCCTGAGCCACCCCCCTTCTTCACAAGATAATAAATTCTGGGAGAGGCCTGGGGTCAGGGCCTTTGTCCGCATGTCCTCACTGGGATTTGACTTAGGACCCCTTGGCTGCCCTTAACTTTAAATATGTCTTGGTGACTTTACTCTGCCTGGGTTGCATTGGTAGTGGTAGGTTGGAATTGGTAGGATTCCAGTGATGTCTCAATGGGATTACAAATAAAACCTTTTGGATTGTGAGGAAAACTAGAAAGAAGATTACAATACTTGGTGGATGACTGAACTCAGTAGTTGGGATTATAATACTTATCCCTTTTTCTTTTCCCCTGCCCCTTTCCCTTGTTCCCCTTTCCCTTTGAACATTTTCCTACTGTTTCACAATACCTATTGTATATTTTGGTTCTTTACAGTTTTGGTTTCTCACACAAGAGAAACACTGTGGCATTTACATGTGTCTGGTTTATTTCACTTAAGGTTATGATCTCAAAGTGCACCCATTTACCTAGAAAAATGTGTTGAGCTTATCTTTATGGTAGCATAGTACTCCATCATATTAAAAAAACTCACATCTTCTTTATCCCATTCACCAGTTAATGGGGATTTGGGCTATTTCCAAGATTTGACTATTATAGACTCTGCCACTATAAACATGAGTGTGCATATATTGGTATTGTATGATGCTTTTAATTCCTTTGGGAAGATACCAAGGCGGGGAATAGCTGGATCAAATGGAAACGCTTGTCCTAGTTTTTTGAGGAATTTCCACATTGATTTCTACAGTGGTTGCACCAGGCTACACTCCCACCAACATTGGAGAAGGGTTCTTTTTCCCCCACAGCCCTTCTCTCATTTGTTATTGGTTGATTTCTTCATAATAGCTACTTTTTCTGGGATGAGGTGGTGTCTTAGCATTGTCTAACACATTTTATTTTCAAAGTAATAACTTTGGCTTGTTGGTTGATTTTTGTGTATGTTTCCATTTATTTGTGAATTTTATGTTATTTTCCGAAAGCTAGTTTTGCTAGACTTAAAGATTCTTCTTTGAGCTCTGCTGCCCTGGTTGATACTGTTTCTGATGAGAATCAACTATTGCAGTTCCTCTGTAAGTGTTGAGTCATTTTTCTCCTGTTTTCAGATTCTGTTCTTGGTTTTGAGCTGCTTTTTTTCTTTTTTCGTGTTATTGGGGATTGAACTCGGTGCCTGAGCTGCATCCCTATCTGTAGAGAACCACTGGACTGGCTCTTCTTCAATACAGAACAGTTTCCTTAGTTAATTATCTTCATGTGCCGATGTATACAGAGCTGGCTAGGCTATTTCCTTTTCCCTTCAGGTGGCTCTAAGCAATATAAATAGGGCTGGCTGAGGTACTGGTATGTTGTCTCTGATGCCAAGGACAGCCCTGCTTCCTCACTTTCAGTGTTTCTCTCTAAAAGGTTGAGCACAACAGAGCCAACAGCACCAGGATTGTCAACTGGGTTCAAGCCTCGAAATAAAGCTATGACTGCTGGGCATATAATCCAGTGGCATAGCAACTGCTTGGCCAGCCTGAGATTGTGAGTTTAATCCCCAGTACAAAACAACAACAATAACAAAAAAAAAAAAAAAAAAAAAAAAAAAAACAACCGTGACTTTACAAGGCACAAAAGTTTACATATCAAAAACTGAGGCAGTAGGCCCCTAAACGTTAACTGTTTACCTTAGTTGTATTATGCAGATTGGTACTCCTGCATGTGCTTCTCTTTGCTGTAGTGGAGATGCTTTTGGCCACTTAGGTAGCTCAGCTCATATTACTTACTTAATTTCTGCCATTCTCAGAGTCACTCATCTTCATACCACTTCCTTCTTCATAAATTAATAAATCTGAGGTGAGGCCCTGGACCCTCGTTTGGACCAGACTCAGGACGCCTTGCTGCCTGTAACTGTAAATATGTCTTAGTGTCTTTATTCTCACTGTGAGTTGCACTGGAGGTGGACCGAGAGGGGGATGGGGAAGAAGAGATTCCTATACCTATCCCTTTTTATTACTTAACTTTGAGATGGGATAAGTTGTCCAGGCGGGACAAGAACTTGTGATCTCCTGCCTCATCCTCCCTCAGTACTGGGGTTGCAGTGTGTGTCACTGCACCCCACTACTTGTGGAACATTTTGACTGAGTTTATGGACGCTTTCTGATGTATTGTGTTGTGGTGTATTATGGCAGTAACATAGACAGTCATGCGTGTGTCTTTGCAGTGTCAGAATAGTTGAATGTTTGACTGTTGGTGGATTCACAAGCTCCATTAGTTTGACAGGCTATACTTCACCAGGTAATCTCATTTCACTTGGTGTTGTGACCGTGGCAATTTCAAGTTGTGTGTTCATTAACCACTAATTTCTAACACCTATAAATCCCATTGTACTAAACTACAGAAAGTTGGAAAAGACTAAAGACTATAGAAGTTATGGCCTCAGTGCAGGGCTGTGGATATAGCTCAGTGGTAAAGAGCCTGCTTAGTATATGTGAGGACCTGTGGTGGCTCTCCAGCCCCACAAAAAGAAAAAGAAACAGAAACAACAACAGAAAACCCCACTCAGTGCAGTGAGGCAGTTCATAGAACCTGTGCAGAGTCAGTACCAGTGCAGTCACTGTGCGGGTTCAGGTGTGGGGTTAATTTACTGTCATGGACATGCTCAGGGTAAGGCTCTGGACCACGTCATGGAATGGGCAGCATGGGTTTGGGAAGGGTTGCGCTGGTTGGTGAGTGAGATTGTGTGGGAGTTTGCAGCCTGATGATCCTGGAGAGGCTGTGCTGAGGCTCTGAGGAAGTGATGGGGTGTGTGTTGCGGTAGTCAGAAGTGTTTCTCCTTGTCTGTGTCTGACTGTGCTTTGGGCTGGCAAATGTGAATTTGGTGTGTCCAACATCTGGTGGAGGTTTACTTGTACAAAAAAGTTGTTTTTCACTGTATCTAGTCCTGCTTAGTCCTCAGTTTTAATCTAAGGTTGGTATGTCTAGGGGTAGGGGTAGGGTTAGGGTTAAGATTAGGCTGTTTTTTTTTTTTTTTTTTTCCCCACAAATTGTTTTTTTAATGCATCTAGGCCCAGGCATTTCGCCTTGACCTTAATTAAACCTAAAGAGATGTAACTCATAGCAAGGTTCAGCCACACTACTGCTTTACAAGTATCAATTAATGTTTTCCTAAACATTTTAGAACTTTTCAGCCGTTGTTTCTTAGGATACTCTGTACCTTTCTGTTTCTGGTAGTTTCCATGTGTGTTACAGTGTCCATGTTTTTCTCAGGCTATGTTCTTTTATTTTTTTCAGTTCTGCCAACACAAATCTATTCTTTGCCTCTTTGCTGAGTTCTATTTTTTAGTTAGTGAATTTGGTTCTTGTTAATAATTTGTCTCTTTGCTCATACTAATACTAATATCCCTTTTTAAAAAAAGTGCTGATGATTGTAGTCAACATTTTTCCATTGAGTATATCCCAACCCTTTTATTTTTGAGACAGGATCTCGCTAAGTTGGCCAGGCTGGCCTTGAACTCTTAATCCTTCTGCCTCAGCTTCTAAGCCTCTGGTTTCACCTCCTCTGTAGGTTTCATCCTCCTCTGTAGGATGAAAATGTTGATAAAAACAAAACAAAAACAACTGTATATCAGAGTCTTCTGATTTGTCAGTCCCTGTATTTAAAAATGTATTGTCACTTTTAATTTTCTAGCAAATTTGTGAGACATATTATAGGAAAAAAGCCTGATGGTTGCATATGAAACTTTCACATCTTCAGGTGGCAGGCCAGAAATTCTTAAACAAGTTGTGTAAATAGCTGATTATTTTGTTGTATTGTTCTTAATTTAGCAAAACTAACTTGAGTGGATTCTTTCTCACAGATGATGACTTTGACCAGTTTGATAAACCTGGTGCGGAACGGTCCTGGAGAAGAAGAGCTGCGGATGAAGACTGGGACAGGTACATACATACCTGTGCCTCACCTGGGAGTCTGTCCTTTCATGAGTCTGTAACTTAGCTGTGTAGAGATATGTGTAGAGATGAGTCTGTCACTTAGCTGTGGAAACAGTGCGCTGGCTCCCTGATACCCTTCCAACTAGTGGGCCTCACTCTTACGCTCCGGTGAGTGCTGTCCAGGTGGACAGCAATAATAAGCCCTGTTCCACACCTGCACTGTGTGTAGGACTATACAGAACTTAGGCTTTCCTTGTCTCCATGTTTTTATACAGTGATGGCATTGACTGTAGATACCCAGAAGCTTTTCTAGAGTAGTCGAGTTGGAGAGTTCCTTTTGTTTCATACCCTAATTAATATGTTGCTAAACTTTAAAATGTTTATCATTTTTATATAAAAATTTTTAAAGTGTCCCACCCCCACATAGGTTCTGTCTATGTAATTCATTCAGACTGGCCTTGCACTCATTATGTAACCCAGGCTGGCCTCAAAACTCAACAGTGATCCTTTTGCCTGTCTTCTGAATGCTGGGATTAAAGTTGTGGGCCACCATACTGTTGTAACATATGTTGATTTTAGTTTGTACTTCACATACTGCATATCCTGATGAAAATGACTGTTTGGGAATTCACATTTGTAGATAGTATAAAACTGTGGCAGAAATGACAGCTTGTCAAGTCAGTGTGGTGGTCACCTCTGTTGAGTCCAGGAGAGATGAGAAGAATGTGTTTGGAGGGAGTAGACAGTGGGGCTTCTTCGAGGTGGTGGAGTTGAGGATGTCCATGACTCGCTACAATTTTCTAACCATCTTAAGTGGGACAACACTGTTTAAAACTTACTTTGGACTTGCATACAATCAGAAAGTTAGGTAATAAAAGTGAATGGATCTGACTATAAAGAACAAAGGTATTGTAATGAAAAGAATTCCTAAATCCTGTTTGTAAAGAATGACCTGGAAATTTTATAGAGTAAAACTGAGAAACATTGCAGTTCTTAGAGTTTACATGGTTGATTTCTCTCCATTTGATGTGTTAGTCAGAATTCTCCAGAGAAACAGTAAAGGTGTCAGTACACAGGTTTGTAATGAGGGATTGAAGCTTGCAGTTGTGGAGACTGAGAAGTCCCACAGTATGCTATCTACAAGATGGGAGATCTTGGGCTCTTCAGTACAGCCCAAGTCCCAAGAACAGGAGCCCAGAGCACTGAGACAGAAGGAGGTAGGTATTATATTGCAAGAAGGTGAGTTTGCCCAAACTCTGCCTTCTTTTGGCTAATGTTTATCCATATTGGCAAGGGTAAGATTAGCTTTTTTTTCTTTTTATTTTAAAGAGGGTAAAATTAAACACAATAAAACAGAACAAAATAGGCTATAAGAAAGCAATGTAAGAGATATAAATTTCAAAGCTAGACGACCTGAGATCTTCACTGTCTATCATATTGTCTCTTGTTTTCTTCCAAATAGTTGTCCATGTCTTTGCATACAGAGAATTCATACAAAGCAACATAGTATGAAACTGATCCGAACAGAATGAGGAAAGCGTTTTAGGTCTTCAAAACCAGACAATAGGGAAGTTATTAATGGCTGTCGTAGAGTCTCTTTCTCTTCAAAATAGCTGACTGTACTTTCATGTATATTGAAGTTCAACAAAACAAAACAGGCAGCAGGGGGTGGTTGCTTGGTTTCCTGGTGCTCCAGGTCCCGCCATGGTGCAGGTCCCAGTAAATGCCAGAGGCTCCCATCCTGGGCCACCGCAGCCTGCCATGCTCACAGCTGCTCACCAGGGGAGGAGGGGTTGCTTGGTTTCCCAGTGCTCAAGGTCCCAGCATGGTTCGGGTCCCAGTAAATACCTGGGTGCTCCAGGTCCCGGCATGACATGGGTCCCAGTAAATGCTGGTGGCTCCTATCCTGGGCTGTGGAGCCTGCCACGCTCACAACTGCTCATGGGGCAGGGGGTTTCTTCTTCTTTATGCTGTTTCTTTCTGGTGAGTTGACCATTTCACTAGCCAAGTTTTGAAATGGCCAACAGACCATAGAAAAACATCTCTTTAGGCTCCTGCTTGAAACCAACAGCGTCAGGAACCTGTCGGCCTTAATTCAGGGCCAGTTTTTTTTTTTCTTACACTGCTGATTCAGACACCCTCAGATGTTCATACCTTAGTCTAAGTTGACACATAAAATCTGCCATGTGCAATAATGAACTAAGTTATAAAGTCTTTTATAACTCTTAGCAGATTACTCCTCACTTAGATTTCCTCTTTACCTAGTCTGTTTTTATCTCCATGTGTTTTTCTTCTGAGTTTGTCTTTTTTTTTTTTTTTTTTTTTTTTGGTACTGGGGATCGAACTCATGACTGTGCTTGCAAGGCAGGCGCTTATGCCACTGAGCTAAATCCCCAGCCCTGTCTTTTCTTTATTAACTTAGAGATTCTTCATACTTTTCAGAAATTTATTTTTTGTTGCTTGGAGATATCTCCCCCAGTCTGACATGTATTCCTTTAAAAAATAATTTTTAAATAAGCTATACAAATAATATAGTCGGATTTGTAATCTTTTCTGTATGCTTTGTTTTTTTAATTAAAATATGAAAAAAATCACCGATTTTTCAAATTACGGGAAGGTTCCAAGAGTAACATAAAAACTCCCACTTGATCTTTTCTTAAACTCTCCAACTGCTTTTTGTTACATTCATGTGTACTTTCTTTTATATGTGTATAGAAATTTCATGCACCATTTGATAGCATATGGTAGCATCATACCCTATATTTTTTAATGCTTCAGTGTGTATTTTTTAAGCATATAGTATTTCTCAGGAATGGAGACTTTTACTTTCTTTGTTACTTTTCATTCTAAGGGAGATTAATGAAACATGCAATTTTATTTTTAAAATATCTACAGTGATTGCAAAATTTGTTAGTTGTCCCAATAATGTCCTTTATAGGCTAAAAAGAAGTGTCTTTTTGTTCTGGTCAGGATTGAACTCAAAATCTGCATTGCATTTTTCTTTTGTCTTTTTTTTTTTTTTTTTTTTGGTCTTTTTCCTTTTTATCGGTACTGGGGATCAAACTCAGGACTGCCTGCTTACAAGGCAGGCGCTTGTGCCACTGAGCTAAATTCCCAGCCCTGCGTTGCATTTTTGTTTCATACTGTGAAAAAGTTCTGTAGCTTTTTGTTTGTTAGGATTGGCATTGTTGAATACTACAGAATATTTATTTTGTAGATTGAACCCAATTTGGGCTTATTTATGTCCACATGGCTAGGGTTAGGCTATGCTTTCTGGGTGCTAATCAGGAACCCTGAGGAGGTGAGACTGTACCTTCTCAGTGCCTCACTTCAGGAGTGCTGGGGAGTGGGAAGGTGTTTTCTGCTTTTTGTCCTGGAGAAAATTTTTTATCACCTTGTATTCTTAGTGTGTCCTGTGTGTTTCTGTGAAAGCTTTTTTCCCTTTGAAGCTTGCTATGTAATCTGCCTGAAATTAAGTAAATTGGTTTATTGAAGGGAAACTTTTGGGGATTGAACCCAGGGTCTTTACTCTGAGCGGGTGCCCCAGCCTGTTTTTATTTGTATTTTGACCTTGGGTCTTGTTAAGGCACCAGATTACGAGAGTTGGGCTTAAACTTGTACCAGGAATCGAACTCAAGACCTCGCACTTGCCAGGCAGGCACTTATGCTGCTGAGCGAAATCCCCAGCAAGTTGAATGAATTTAAAAACATATTAAAATAGCATAATTCAGTAAACCCAAGGTACCATTATCTAACTGTAGCACTTATTAACTCATATATAATCTTGTATCTATATGCTGCAATACCCCTCAAATCATAGACGTAATTTCATCTAAAAATATTTTGGAAAACCAGGTATAGTGGCACATGCTTATTATCCTACTATTCAAGAGACTGAAGTAGGAGGATTGCTGTGAGTTCGAGGCCAGCCTGGACTATAAAGTGATTTCAAGTCCAGCCTGAATCATATAATGACATTCTACATCAAAAAAGACCAAAAAATTTTTAAAAAGTTGGAATGTTATTCTCTCAAAAGGGATTTCAAATATATTCATAACAGTTGTCTAAAAATAAGATTCATTGTCATGACTCTTATGGCTTGTCTAGATGGCCCCCTATGCAGTCATAGGTGAGGTTTTCAAAGGTGGCTGTATCTAGAGTGTATGATGCTGGGGTTAAGCATTTGATGCTGAGATCAAGGGTGTGTGTCTATTGAATTAGTCCAATGATTGGTTTGATGTAGTTGTGGGGTGGATTAAGGGGGGCCCCACACTGATGGGAGTGCTATCCATCCTAAGGGCACATAGGCTGGATAAGGGGTGAATGACAGAAAAACAGTTTCTGGTCATTTGTCGCTTGCTGCTTGCTGCCATGCTGCTTCTGCCTTCTGCCTGCCATGAACTATTTCTCCTCTGCCATGTACCACCCTGCCTTGGAGTCAGCCAACTATGAACTGAAAATTGTATAAATTCAGAGCCAAATCCAAATAAAGCCTTTCCTCTCTTAAAACTTTAGTTGGATATTTTCTCGGCATCAAGAAAAAGTTTTAAAGATTGTCTGTTATATATTTAGATTGTGTGTGTGTGTGTGTGTGTGTGTGTGTGTGTGTGTATTCATGCACATTAGATATATAAGCCGGGCATGGTGTTGCACATCTGTAATCCCAGCACTTGGGAGGCTGAGACAGGAGGATTCCTATGAGTTTGAGACCAGCCTGGGCCACATAGCAAGATCCTGTCTCAAAAACGCAAAAAATCCCCATATATAAACTACTTAAACAGTAAGGATACATATCTACTTCTTTATAGTTTGAAATGGATCCAAATAAGGTCCATTTATTGTAACTGACCAAGTCATTTAAGTGTTTCATCTACAGATTCCACCCCGTGTTGGTTAGCTTTCCATTGGTACGAGGAAGTACTGGAGACAGTTAACTCTAGAGAGAAAGGTGTTTTTTGGCTCACAGATTTGGAGGTTCTACTCCATGAACAAGTGACCCTATGCTT